GCTGCAGGGCTGCCCTCCGGCGCGAGTAGGGTTCCTCCAGGCGAGCCCTCTCCCACTGGCACTTTCCTCTCCCCCGGCCCCTCGCCAAGTGACCCGTGACACCCCCGCGCCGCCGCCATGTCCCGCCGCAGCCAGCGCCTCCTCACCACACGCTATTACCCCGGGGACGACGATGCCACGACCAGCAGCAGCGGCAGCTCCCTGCTGGAGGGCCAGCAGCTCCCCTTCAAGGAGAGCACGGGCAGGTTAGTGGGGTGCAGGGGGTGGGGTTCCTCCCGCCCCCCCTAAAGGCGGCCTGAGCTCCGTCCCGCACCGCGGCCTGGGCACCTTCCCGAGGGGGGACACGGGGCAGCTCGCAGAGGAGAGCGCGGGGTGAGCCCAGCATGGCCGCCCTGGCGCTGGCGGTGCCCCTGCTCCAGCAGGAGCCCAGTGCCCCCCACCCCAGCACCCTGCGTGCCCCCTGCCCTGGGCAGCTCGGGGTGGCTGCCGCCTCGGGCTCGCCGGTGGGCGGGAGGTGGCTGTAAGCGCTGGGCCGGAAAACCGCAGCTGTGTGAGCGGAAGCGGTGCCGGCAGCTGCCCGGGAAGGGCGGGAGGGCCTTTCGCAAAGCGGCGGTTGCACCCTCCGAAACCTGCCGCCGTCTGGTACAGTGGGGTGAGTGAAGGGAAATGATGCCGGCCCAGGGATTGACATTCCCCGGGTCTCTCCCACGGGTGCCCTGTGACCTGCCTTCGTGCCATAACCACGCGTGGCTGATGAGCCTGTTCTTGTCCCCAGCAGGATGATCAGGAGGAAATCGAGTAGCATGAAGCGCCTCTCCCCTGCCCCTAGCACCCAAACCTCTTACTACAGCGAGTCCCTGATGAGTGAGTCTTACCTGGGAGGCAGCCGGGGCCTTGCCGCCCTGGGCAGCTCTATGCTGGATGATGCCCTGGACAGCAGCACATACTGGGGTGAGCCCTTCCTTCTCCCACAGCAACTGGGGACTTCCATGAGCACTGGGGGGTGATGTTGGGGCAGCCCCCTGGCCAGTTGACTGGGTTATTCCCTTTGGGTGTGGTGGTGGGTGGTTTCTCAGGGGGTGACTCTGTTTTATGGGGGCAGATGGGGAGCTCTCCACCAGGAGGAGAAGAGGCACAGGGGACACTGAGTCCAGTAAGATCAATGGGCTGATGGAGAGCAAGACATACGACACCTACGCCTCTTCGTCTGGGTACTCCTCAGAAGATGACTATGCCGGTAGGATTGCACCAGCCTCTCGCGGTGGCAGGAATGCTGGGGCAGATGTCCCCAGGGGGCTGCCATACCCCTGCATGCCACCTTCTATGCAAAACCTTTACCCTGGGGGATGCGCAGAGATGCAGGCAGGCTCTATTTGGTGACTTACTGCCTCACTTCTTCCTTTCCAGGTCACTTCTACTCAGGCCAGAGTAGCTCCGGGTCAGGGCTGAGGAACGTGGCCTCCCGGGTGGGCTCCTTTCTCTGGCAGGTGCTCACCTCCCCGGGTGAGTGGAGGGCTGGTGGGGGCAGTTTTTAGCAGCACCTTTCTTCCCTGCCAGCATCTCTACTCCCCACACGCTGTGTGTGCCATTCCCTGATCAGTTGGACGGGTTTTATGCTGCTGTGGGAACAAACTTGGGGACAGAGGGGATGCCTCTGCTGGGATCCCACTTGAGGCTTGGTTTCTCTCCCAGCAGTTCGTTTCATGGGGTGGCTGTTCTCCAAGCTAGCGGCTGCCTGGCACCACCTCACCAGCGCAGCTCCCCGCCTGGGCAGTGTCCCTTTCTCCAGGTGAGTGTGGTGGCAGGACACTAGGATGGGGGAGGCACGGGGAAATCCTGCAGTACCTGTGGAGAGGGGGTGCCCTGCAGAGCCTGCCATGCATTGGGTCGGTGTCTCGTGCTGAAGCCTGGCTGGGCTTTGCTGTCCCTCTGGCCCCCATCCAGAGGAGCACTGCAGTGGGGGAAGGTGCTGGAGTCCTACAGAAACCTCCTTCTTCCCTGTGCCCTAGGCGCTACCCATGGCTGAAGAGGTCCCTGCTTCTGATGCTGCTCCTCCTGCTCCTCGCTGCTGCTGCCTACGGTGAGTCGGCCTGGCTCAATCTCTTCCCCTGAGATCTGGGGCAGTGCAGAGTGTCCAACTGCTGTAGCCAGGGGATAGGATGGGATGGCCCTGAGCTCAGTGTTCGTGGTTCCTGATACCCTGGTGCATCTGCACCCCTGTCCTGGGGCCTCTTGGTAACCCCAGGCGATACACCTTTGCACATCCACACTGTGCCCCCAACTGTGGCCTGTTACCAGCCTGCTGTTTTAACCATATCATCTCCCTGCATGCCCAGGAGCTTGGTACTTCTACCCGTATGGGCTGGCAACACTTAGCCTCCCCGCCTTCCCGTGGTGGGGAGCTGGAAAGCTTTCCTCCTCCGATGTGTCTGGGGCAGGGGACCTGACCGCACTGGACCAGGTAGGCCTTGGCAAAGGCATGGCACTGGCCCAGGTGGGGTGGGTGCCTTGCAGGGAGAGCCAGAACAGTGTGGTCCATGGCTGGAGGAGCCCTCCCAGGGGATGGGGACATGGTGAAGGATGGGGCAGGTGGTGGCTTCATGCTGGTGGAAATGGCTCCCTCAGCTTCTGGCCATCTCACTCTCAGGGTGTCCCAGGGATGGAGCAGGGGGGAAGCAGCAGATAAATAAGATGCCATTGACTCTGGGGGCCAGGTGGTGTGGGTCCCATTTCACAGGGGTCTCTCTAGAGCAGGCAGTCCGCCTGGGGATCAGCACCTCCCCAGGGAGCTGCATCGTGCCCTGCCTTTGCCACCACAGGGGTTGTGGGGGGAGCACCGGCTCCTGGCTCACCTCCAGGCCCTGGAGAAGCGCTTTGAGGTGCTGGAGGCCAAGATGTCACAGTGGGAGCTGCAGCGGGGAGCAGCAGCAATGGCGTCAGGGGGAGAGCCGCCCCCAGGGGACATCCTCACACTGCTGGAGGGGCTGGTGAGCCACCGGGAAGAGGGGCTGAAGGAGCGTCTCCGCACTGATGTGACCAGCCATCTCCAGGTGAGGGGTGCAGGGGGCATGTGGGGAGATGGGGCCATGCAGGGTCAGGCTCTGATGTTCCCCTGTTTTTCACCCTGCAGGGTGAACTGGATGCCCTCCGAGCCCATGTGCAGAGGGATTTAGACGGACGCCTGGGGAAGATGGCACAAGCCTCTCAGGTAAGGGGACGAGTGTGTGGTGGTACCTGAGCAGGACATCCTCACCGCAGGTATCACACCCTTCCCCTTCTCCTGGCAGGAGATGGAGGCACACTTGCTGGAGCTGAACTCGGAGTGGCAGAGGTAACGCTGGCTATCCGGGCAGAGTTGCTGCTCTGTTAGGGCTTGGCGGGTATCAGGTGAAATCTCCGCAGCAGTGCTTAGTGGGGGGTTTCCAGGTCTGGTTTGCTTGGGCCAAAGTAGAGATTGAGAGGTACAATCTTTGGAGGAAAGGAGGGATGGGTGCAAGGGTATGTCAACAAGCAAGTGCCCTGGCTGGCAGCAGGGCTGAAAGTGTGATTGCTGCAAGTGGCCTTTGCCACTATCATTTTATATCACTGTGGGGAACTTGGCCTTTCAGCTGAGGGGCAAGCTGGGAGTGCTTTCCATGGGATGCAGTAGAAGAGGTCAATGCCACAGGAATTAAAGCCCTTTGGGGCTGGAGATGAGGTTGAGCATTGGTGATGGGGGATCAACCTCCTCTTCCAGTTTGCAGAGGAAAGCTGGGACTGTCCATGCAAGATTTTGTTGCCTTTCTCTTGGCACAGCTCGGTGCAGGGGAGCTTCCAGCAGGAGGTGGGCAAGCTGGAGCAGGAGGTGGCAGCATTGAGAAGAGAGCTGGTTGGCCTCAAGTCGGACCAGGAGGTGATGGGGAAGCACATGGAGGGGTTGCTGGAGCAGCTGAAGGCAGTGCGGGCTGATGTGAGTCCCTGGTCCCCATCCTGTTTGGCAGAGGAAGGCATGAGGGTCCCTGCCCCAGGGCTGAGCTCTGTCTCCACTGTTTCAGGTGGAAGCACAGTTTCCGGCATGGGTCAGTCGGTTCCTGTCGGGGTCCCAGCAGGATGGTGCCTCTGGCCTCGTCCTGCAACGGGAAGACTTGCAAGTGGAGCTTCAAGCCCTGGAGCGCAAGATCCTGGCCAAAGTCTTGGAGGACCGAAGGCTATCGGCACGGGATGCTCAGGCCAGTATTGGAGTGGCCCTGCAGCAAGGGGGTACCGCAGGGATGACAGAGGAGGTGAGTGCTGGCCTGAACCCCTGGGACGTGATGGTGACCACAGGTGTGGGATTGGGGGCTGTGCCCCATTGTGTGTGTGCAGGGGCTGGCACGTGTGCCTGGCAGGTAGTAGAGCTGTGGGGACAGCCCTTAGAGCTGGGACAGGGATCCTGGGTTCACATCCCACCTGGCAGGAGCATCCCTGAAACTCCCTCATCTGTTCTCTGCTACCAGCCTGCCATGGGCTGTACCTGTGCCCTGCTCTGGCAGATGTCACAGGTGGTGATTTCTGCACTCGTGCAAGGCTCCTGCTGTCTTAAATCCAAATTTATCATGCACATTTCACCCAGAGGATAGGGCAGGTACCAGAAAGGTTTCTATGGGTTGAGCATCTTGCTTACCCCTGTCCTTCAGCAGCACTACCAAGTCATTTGGGGCAAAGCATTTCAACAGGATGACAGCAAGGGAAAAAATGAGCCTGCTTGCTTTGGAAACAGTTGTTGGCAATTCCCTGTGGAGGTAGTGGAGGGGGAGGGATCAAGCTGGGATTAGCAATCCCCACAGTCTGCACAAGCTTTGTGCATGCCATAGTCTGTAGCAGCTCCTAGGGCTGGGTTTAGCCCCAGAAGGATGCTCCAGCCAGCTCTCCCTTGTCCAGATTTGGGGAGCTCCCATTGATCCTGTGGGAATGAGGCAGGAGGGACCAGCAGATGATGCTGGGGGAAAGTTGGTGGGCTGTCTGGTTGTGTCTGGTACCCACTGAGGGATATTCCTCTTCTGAGGCCAGCCCCTCTTTTGAGATGGGGACAGGCAAGCCCAATGTGCCTGGCCACCACCCCTTTGTTGCACAGCTCCTCTTGTTGAGGGGTATTTTTATCAACCTCTAACAAGGCTTCCCAGCCAAATGTGTGTCCTCTCACTTTTGCCACGGTGATTCATCGCCTGGCTGTTTTGTGGGAAGGTCCTTGGTCTCTTTCAGTCCTTGCAGGCTGGAGGTGGGTGGGGGCCAGGACACTCATACTAGCCCTTCACCCCTCTTGTACCCTTTGCTCCTGCTGCAGCAAGTACACCTCATTGTGGACCAGGCCCTGAAGCGCTACAGTGAGGACCGTGTGGGGATGGTTGACTATGCCCTGGAGTCAGCAGGTAGGTGGTGGGGGACGCTCACCCACCTAGGATGAGTTGAGGAGGGGTGCTGGCATACAGCTTACCTGCTGCTGTCCTTTCTTCGTGTCAGGAGCCAGTGTCATCAACACCCGCTGCTCAGAGACCTATGAGACACGGACGGCACTGCTGAGCTTGTTTGGCATCCCCCTGTGGTACCACTCGCAGTCCCCCCGTGTCATCCTGCAGGTGGGCACCCTCAGGGCGAGACCCCAATGATGAGGCAGAGCGGGGAGGACTGGCCTGACTGTTTCTCTCCTGGGTTTGGTGGGTTTTATTGGGATGTTGCTCCAAGCAAGCAACCAGGCTGATGTTGAGGGGAGAAAAATGGCACTGGTGGTGATAACATTGTTGGTGTCTTGCTCCCACAATTGTAGCCAGACGTCAACCCTGGGAACTGCTGGGCATTTCGTGGGTCCCAGGGCTTTGCCATCATCCGCCTCTCCAGCACCATCCGCCCTACAGCTGTGACACTGGAGCACATCCCAAAAGCCCTCTCACCCCGGGGCACCATCCCCAGTGCCCCCAAGGACTTCACTGTTTATGTGAGTACCCTTGCCTGGACCCTTGGGAGGAATTGGGTAACATGGTGGGAGGGTGCCGTTGGTAGAGGATGTAGGAGGGGAGGGCTAGAGAGCCCCATGCCTCACTGTGGGAGAAGGGGAGCGCTGTGCTTCAGGAAGGGTTTTGGGGGACACTGGGAGAGAGGGGATTGAGTAAGTGTAACTCTCAGTCTTTCCCATTGGCTCCTGTCTCCATTTGTCTGTTTTGGCCTGGAAGAGCAGGAGTCAAGTGTGCTTGTGCCTCTGTCTCCCTCTTCTGCCTTGGGTGTACTCATCGCCTCTGGTCTCCCTTGGTTCTCCCTTTCTGCCTCTCTGACCTTCTGTAGGGCTTGAAGGAAGAGGGAGAGGAGGAGGGCCACCTTCTTGGGCAGTTCACTTACAACCACGATGGTGACCCCATCCAAACGTTTTACTTGGAGGTAAGTGCTTTGCCTTTAGAATACCAGACCCCAAGAAGAAAGTGGGGTCCCTGGAGTCTTGAGTCCTCAAGATCTCTCAAGGACTGGTTTTTTTCTTTCCCCCTCTCCCCAAGGGTGATGCTGTGGGCACATATCAGCTAGTGGAGCTCCGGGTGCTGAGCAATTGGGGGCACCCTGAATACACCTGCATCTACCGCTTCCGTGTGCACGGGGAGCCGGCGCACTGACCCCCGGATGCTGCGCGGGATGAGTATGCTGCCAGGCTGAGAGCAGACAGGGGGATTCGTCTGGTTCGCCGCTTTGCACGTAGAAATCCTGGGATGTGCCAGCAGCCACCCCAGAGACCTGCTCCCCTTGGGGGAGGAGAAAAGCTGGTGTTTAAGGGGTGAGGCTTTCACTCTTCCATGGACTGGGGAGGCAAGGCAAGAGCATCCCACGTGGGTCCTAGCGCAGGCTGGCTTGTCAGTGCATATAGGACACTTTAACTTTTTAAGCTAACTTTTTTTTTTAATCAGGTCTGCGCAGCCCCTCATTCCTGTTGCCCTGCTCCTTTCTGATGGTGTGCCTAATGTTGCTGGGGCTTGGGAAAGGGATATGTAATTTTGCGATGTGCTTCATGGAGGCTTGGGCATTACACGGTGTATGGGACCGTGGTGACTGGCTGGGTGCTGCTGTGGTAGGTAGGAGCCACTGGTCACAGCCACCAAGTCTCTACTGTCCACGTGGGGTCACTTTTCCTGCCTTGGCGTTGGCTTAGGTAAAGATCTCCAGACCTCTGATGCTAGGCTGGCAGAGAGGAAATAGGACAGTATTAAGAAAGTATTAACATAAAACTAACAGTCTGGGACAGCAGGAGAGAAGAAATTTGGCATGTGTTGGTGACAGAATCCACCCCAGTGCTGTTGTCAGTCTGCTCAAGCCCTACTGCTGCTGTCGGCTGTGTTGGGCCTTGGCGGTGCTGTCAGCCCTCTTGGCTGGCTGGCTCCCTGGGGTTAAGCTTGATGCTATTGAAAACACCTGTTGCCTGCTTCCCTTTTTGGGTTTGTTGTGGTTTGGGGGTTTTGGTTGTTTAGTAGTTGTGTGGTGGTTTTTTTTTTTTTTTAAAGGGTGGGGAGGGGGGTGGTTTTCCATTTGGGGTGTTGCAGATTCTTTTTTTTGTAGTAACAAAGGAAAAAAATTACTTTTTCCACACAATTTCTACTTAACTTGAGAATATTACATGGCACTGCTTGGGCAGAGAGGGCTAGAACTTAGTTTAGTAGGAGAACAGTGCACATAGTAGGATAGGCTAGAATAAGATGGGCAGAGCTGTTTAAAATACGGGCTTTGAGTTGTCAGTGGTTTGATAGCTGGACCTGGGAGACAAGGTACTCTGTGGACTGCTGCCTGGCAGGGTGCTGGAGGCATACCTGCCCTCTTTGCTCCAGAGATGTCCTCTGAGACTGCAATGTGCAGCCAGGGCCCCTCACCCATGGCTATGTATAGGTGACTGTTCACAGCGAATGGGAGCTGCTGCCCTGGTGCTATGCAACACTCTGTCCCTCAGTGGGCTGCTGAGTGGGAGATAGGGCAGAGGGGAGACCTCCTTCCCCAGGGGTGGCAGGTGCCAGCATGCTGCTTCACCTCATGGGGGCAGCAGGGCCTCCCCCTACCTGCAGCGTTCAGGGCTGTCTCGGTCACCTCTTGGTCCCCAGTGGCAGATGGCTGGCGTGGGCTGACCTCCTTTCTCTTGGAAAGACTCCCTTTTCCTCTCCCTCCTGCCTTCTCACTGGCATTGCTCAGCTCCCCCAGCCCTGGCTGCAGAGGACTGGGCCAGAGCAGGATGGGGAGTCCTGCCTGCATTGGGCACATAAATCCCATGAGTGGTGGCAGGGGACTGCAGGAAGGATGCATAGGGACCTTCCCCAGGCTGAGTGCCAGGGCCATCTGGCCACTCCACCTTCTGGCTGCCTGCAAGCACACTTAGTTTGGCTTATGATTTTGGCATTTACAAACCTCCGTATTGTGTTTTGTTGGGGGGAGCTAAAGGGCTCATATTTAGTGTTTCAGCCCTGTCTGATGCTGGCATCATCTTCCCCTGGCACCGTGAGCTGGGGGAGAGCACTGTGAATTGAGTCTTGCTCTGGTGTTCTCTGCTTGAAGTGCTGTAAGGTGAGGGGTGTAGAGGAGGGGAAGGGGCTGAAGAGGTTTCTCCCTTCAGCATGCTCTGATGTACATCAGGCAGAGGTGCCGAGCCCTGCACCCCTCCCTGCCAGCCCAATGGGTTGCGAGTAATGGTGGCACATCCCTTCTGGAGGGGTGTTCTTGCTCCAGGCACAGGAAGTAAGCCTGAAGGGTGCAACCCCCTTGCTAACAGGTTAAAATTATCCCCTGGAGCGCCCTGCAATGATGGGAGGCTGCTGCAGGGAGAAAGTAGAGCTGCCACCAGATCCAGTGACAATAAATTCTCTCCTATATTGAGCATAGTCTTAATTCTTGGCATCCACTGCTGAAGTTATTTTAAACTTGTCTACAACTGCCTGCTTGCCTTGGAGTCATGTCCATGAGTGACCTGCATGCACAGAATTGTGCTTTTATGAATGCCTAGACCTGTCCTGGGCTCAATAGAGCAGCTCCTGTATTTAACTGAAGAGAGAGCAGAGATGAAGCTCTCCTCCTTCCCCAGGTGTTCTCTGGCTGCTGTAGCAAATGCCATAACCAATGAGGCTTGAAAACCCCTTTTTTTTATGTCCCTTCTTGACTCCCTATCCTCTGGGTGGTTGGGCTGTCAGGACAGACAGGGTCTTTTTACCACAAAATCACTTTTTCTTGGGCAATCAGGCATGCTGGTGAGAGTTGGGAAAGGGGGACCCAAAAGGGGAGTTGGAGCAGGGTCTCTGCTCCTTCCCAAGCGAGTGTTAAGGGCTGGCTGTGGGGTAGGGAGCACTTGGCTTTACAGGGCAAGCTTGCCTTGTCCTTTTGGAAAATCTCTGCTGCTGTGAGGTAAAACCGCCTGGAGCCACCACTCAGAGGTCACCCCTGGGGGTTTATGGGGGTATTGCTGGCTTTAAAGGCCTCACCATGCCAACTCTGTGAGGAGCCCCAGGAAGGCAGGCTGAGGCTAGGTGCAGTTTTTCATCCTCCAAATTCTTCATCTGTGCTGTGCTGCAGCCTGAGCACCTGTACCGAGTGCCTGGCCAACTGGGTCTTGCAGGGGTTTACAGGATTTCTGCAATGCTTTCCTGAGCTGCAGAGGAAAAGGGGGCACATAAAACTGCTAGTTCAGCATGTGCATCTCTGCCCAGGGGTATTTAATCCTAGTGCTGATGCAGAAGATAAGCTGGGTGAGGCAGGAGAAATGTGAAACAGCTGTCAGAGCAGATTTCCCTTATTTACTCCATTTCCCTCCTCTCTTCTCCCTCCTTCTCCATTTGCCCTGCATGTGTTACAAATTAGCCCTGCAGAAACAGATGGTTACAGGCAGGAGACAAGTTTGTATTTGCTGTAGCCTGCTGCAAATGCTGCACTGTTTTGTTCATTTTATTTTCTAATCAACAGATTGTAACTTATGCCTATGCAAGAAAAAAGACCAAGACAAATAAATTATATCAAAACTGCTGTGTTTTGCAGGTGAATTTGCTGGTGTGAATGATGCACAGCTAGGAGAGATCAGTGAATTCTTCTTGGAGTTCTTCTCATCCTTGTTTTCCAGCCTGACATACTAACTCTAGGGTCAGTAGTTTCCACCTTGTCCCAGAGCAGGCTCTGGGATGTAAAAACTGCTTACAGCAATGATGAAAACAAGAGTTACACTTAAAAGTTCAAAGGCCTTGGGACTGTAATCTTCTAGTAAGTCTGTGACAGACCATGCCTGTGACCTCCCAGCCACCTCTGGACATCAGTCCACCCTCTGCCTTACCATGGGGTATGCACAGAGCCTGGCTTGGCCCCGAGCAGTGGCAAATGAGGCTGGGGCAGCAGGGAGGGCAAGGACAAAGCCTGACACATCCACAATTAAGGGTAGCTGTGTGTTGTTCTCTTTTCTTAACACAGTCTGTAATTACTCAGCAGGAAGCTAAGAGCAAGCAGAAAGGAAATACTTCATTTTCCTCAGCATGAGTAAGTTAACCTAGAGCATAAAAAGAGGCTGCAAAAAGGAAGATTGTACTGGCTTGAGCTTGGGGAGGGTCACACTGGTGTCTGCTTAACCAGGATAGGCTGGAGGCAGGCTTGTGCTGAGGAGCACCCAAGTAGCTCCTTACAGAAGGACACCTTGTTCGCTAATGGCCCTGGACCAGCCATCTCCAGGGAGAGGCGCTGCATGGGCCTTCACTCCAGCCACCACCAGCTCCCAGCCCAAGACTTACCTGTGAAAGGGCCAGAAAAACCTTTGTGAACCTCTGAGACCAGCCGAGGAGGCAGGAAAAAGCCCATTCCAAGCCCTAGAGAGTCTCACTGTATTTATAGGTGAAGTGCAAGTCCTAGCGAGAGCCCAGAGCTTATACAGGCAGTGGAAGTGCTGTGCTAAAACCGCATCCTCTAGCAGTGTCTCTGGCAGAGCTGGCCTCAACAACTGACTTGCTAGAGCAGCTTTTCACACACACAGGCATTTTGCACAGCATAGCTCACACCACTCTGCTGCGTTGTCAGGGCTGTGCAAAGGCTCAGCAGCACCTGTCCTGGGGCATGGCATGCCCTCCCCTGACATCACTACAGATGCAGCTTCTTCTCTTAGCCAGCAAAGGGGCACGGTGCCAGGCAAACCCACTTGGCCTGGCTTTTGGCATTAAAGCAGCAAGCACTGGTGTTCCAGAGGGACAAAAAGCAACAGGACATACTTTAACTTGGAACAAACTTTTTTAAAATTTATTTTATAGATCACCAGCATGAGTGATCTTTGAATGCTGGTCACAAAAGAGAGATCACACCACCTCCTTTGCATGAACTGAAGTAAACCCTCTTCCAGCCTCAGCAGTCTCTTTCATTTGGAGCACAAGGAATGGAGAAAACCGCCTGCAGCTCCCTGCTCCCCTTAGAAGCAGAGGGCAGTGAAATCAGATACAGTTTGATACTGTGACAGGGCCAGAAGACAAACCAACCGGGCCCTTGGGCCCTGCTTAGCCACACTTCACACCCCTTCACAATGTGGGTGCTATTAGTGTTGTAGCCGCCTATAGTTCCTCCCTCACCAGGAGAGTGCTGGTATTTAGGCACATAGCTTGGAAAGGACTGTCTGACCTCCCCTTTCCACCCACACTCATGCCACTGCAGTCTCTAAGGCAAAGCACCCCGTCTTGAACCACATTCCTCACCTCTCCTGCGCTGCTTAATGCTTTTGCAGTGCTGGTGCTGGCACTGGGAGACATGCTGTCCCCCCTCCTCAAGCCTGCTGTTGCTCAACTGGCTTGAAAGCCTACTTTGAATTGCAAGGGGAACTGGAATGAACTCCACACAGGTGCCACAGAGTGAGAAACAACAACTTGCTAAGGAGGGACACAAACTCTTCAGTTTCCCTCTAATTAAAATAAAAGCCCTTCACTGGAGGAGGAAGCCCTCAAAGAAACTGAGGCTGACAACACCTGCTGGGGAGAGCAATGATTTGCTGAGGATACCACCTTCTCTCTCAAAATGCTACCATGATCCCACAGCTCACCACAAGCCAGCAAAGGATAACACCTGTCCTCACAGAGCCAAGCAAAGAGGCAGGGTTAGAAGAAAAAGAGATCAAAATAAGTAGGGAATTGATCACTTGCACAACCCAGGGTTAAAAAACATAACAATAAAGTTAATTCATAGACTGTCCTTTGCAGGGCCTTCCTGGAGAGGCCACAATTTGTCATTTAAAAAAAATACAAACTTAAAAAAAAATTAAAGTCATAAAAATTACCACATACTTTCAAAACTGAAAGCACTTTTTAAGATCTGGTACCAACTCATCATTGCCCTCCTCAGCCAAGAGGAAAGAAGACAAATCGTATCTCTGCCATGGCAAAGTTTGGCCAATGAGTTCCAGATGATTTGGAGAACTCTTGTGGGTAAATAGAATCAAAAGGTCTTGTCTGCCTGGTGTCTCTGTTCCAAAGGTATATTACTACCTGTGATCTCTGTCCGTCAAGGTGAGAAGGCTTTCTCTGGCTCAAGGGATGGACTGAGTGTTCCTGCACTATATTCTTAATACTGTCAATTGAGTTGCTGCAGCCTTGAGAGGCAGGTTAGATTTGCTCCAGTGTGCACTGAACAAACAATAGGAAAAGAAGCATGATAGGAAGGGGAACTGGATAGGCAAATGACTGCCCATTTCATTCTGTCTCTAATTAAAAACTTAAGTGCTATCAATGTATTTGAGAAGGCTATTTAGTACAGGATTCCTTAACATCAAAACTGCTTTCCTATTTGTTTCCCTCTTAGATCTCCAACTAATAAACTTTCTTACCATCTCCTTCAAACTTCAGCCACTACAACATTAAATTAAACCCAATAGTTTAAGAAAAATGGAGAACATACAGAAACATATTTGGCACAGAGCCACAGTGGTGAGGAAACAATGCCCTATGGAGTCATCCTAAGCAATGTGTTTTAACCTTTGCAAGTCTGAAATTTCAGACATCAGATAACTCCTGGATCTGAGACAGCACATAGGAGGAGAGCAGCAAGTCCTGCAGACAGAATGGGGTGAGGGAGGAGGGAGGCAGCTAACTGGCTCCTCGCAGTTCTATCCAGACTCATCTTCATGCACACAGAATATAATAAAAACTAGTAAGAATAAAAACTAAGCCCATGATGTACAAAAATGTGTTGATAGGGGGAGGAGGAAGGTGTCAGTTACTCAGTTCCGTGTGTTTTATCACCTTCATTAGCTTATAAATTATGCTCCTCTCCATTGCTTCCTTCGGGGAGGAGGGACAATTCTGCAGCCAATCAGCTGGGATGGGTTTTGGTTTAAGCTGCGCTGGATCTTTTGGATAAGAAATGAAGGAAAGGGGAGGAATTCCTCAGAGAGAGGAGGAGTAAGAAATTCAGCAGCCACTGGCAGGAGTCACACAGGCTCCCTGAGATTTCACTTTATGGCGCTGACCCCCACGTCGCCGGCCTCCTCCTCCGACTTTTGACTGAAAAACAAGAAGTTACACTTTAGTGCGCAGTAACCTCTGAACCAGAGTATCAACACAGCAGGATTTCAAATGGATCACACACATGTTCAGACAGCAGGAGGGCAGTTGTGACTGATCAGCTTCCTACCACTGCAGGAAGGAGATAAAGCACATCATGAAGGAAGGACGAGAGACAGATACATCATGATGTTCAGCCCTTCAAGCTAGGGCAGGACCTGATTTCCCAATTTTCTGAATGCTTCGCTCCCATGAGAGTCAGCAGATGGCATGGGGTTCGACATCCAGGAAATCAAGGTCTCAGGCTCCCTTGGTTTTGTGCAGAACAGAAGGAGAGCCCCCCGTCCCCCTACCAGGGCTCTCTTGCTAACCTGACTCTGTTCCCATTCTCAGGCCAGCAAGACCACCCTTATTTTTTAAAGCAGCCAAATACCTTATTGCCCTCACGGATGTGGGGCTCTTCATCCAGCGCAGGCTGAGGGGAAGCAGCAAGGAGAGAGAGGCAGAGGTAAGCAAGAACAAAAGCAACACAAACTCCCAGGGGGAGAAACGAAACAAAGAGCAAGCTGGGAGCACTACTTACAATCACAGTGACGCTACAAGAAGACAAGGAGGAGATGGGAGATCAGTAAGAAGCCGCGGGCATATGCAAAGGGAGAGAACCCCTGTCAGAGGGACGGCCCTCTTCCAGCAGCCAACCTGGCTCAAGAGGGTAAGATTTGACCAATGGTAACCAAGACAGCTAAAATTAAAGAGGGGGTCTCTTGACAGAGTCAGTTCCTGAACCTTTTCACTTACTAGGTTAAGTACAGTAAAAGGAGAAACCTTACTTCTATCACTAATGAAGCTGATAAATAGCTCCCAGAGCCTGCAGTTCAAATTGAGTTTCCATTCCTTTCAGACCAGGAAGGCTAGGTATCATTCTTGGACAAGCTGAGTTGAGAAGTCTTAACCAACAAAACAACCTGGACAAATTTCTCTAGAAAGAGATAAGCCTTTCCTTCTCCTTGGACATCTCCATCCTCCCTCCTTGACAGGGCAGACGATACTGATACTACTACTTAGGCTGTAATTTCTCTGGCATAAGTATGTTCTGCCTCTCAGACAGTACAGACCTATTCTGTGACCGGTTGTTAGAGGCTTCATTAGTTCAGCTCCTGGGTATATGGAGATGTTCTCTCACTGTGAACACAGACAATTAGTGAAACAGGTTGTCAAGGGAGGTTGTCCTCCTTGGAGGTTTTCAAGACATGACTGGACAAAACCCTGAGTACCTGGTCTGACCTCACAGCTAATCCTACTTAGAGCAGGAGGTCAGACTAGACACTTCCCCAGGTCCAACCTGAATTGTCCCAGGACCCTAAGCTGTAGGCTGCTGACACATCAGTCATGAGAAGTCATCCAGTGATCAGAGAATTCTGATTTCTGCTGTGAGACTACCTATATTTCCATTTGTTTCTGTTACACATTGAATCCCAAGGTAAGTTCAAGAGTATGAGGGGATAATTACAGTGTCCTTCCTCCAACAGACTAAACCAGGATGCAAACAGCTAGGACAGGCATTATCTTTTCCTCACTTACCAATGGTTGCAGAGCAGTAGGTGTCAGTGGCGCTATGGCTGTTGAGGAGGCCTCGTCCCCAGCTAGTGGGCCTCCAGCTGCTGTCCCAGCTGGGGGAACACCATCCTCTCGTTTTGTAACAGCTCCCTTCTTGGTTGACTGCATCTTGATCTGCTGTGGCTTGGAGTTCATTGGTGAGTTATTGGTGGTCTGAAGTAACTGCAAATTACAAAGGGAGAGGCCAAAATCAGCATTAAAAATAGTTAGGCCAATATGGCAAGGTTCAATGCTGCTTTTTAATAAAAAGCTTTGAGAGAACTGATACCAATAGTCATTGGGAGGAGAATGCAGCAACAGCTGTTCAAAGAAATCTAGCCCTCAGGAACGCTTACAGGGTAGAAAGGGCCACTTGGCTGAGGTGACACTTTGCCCTCCTTGACATGACTCAAAGGGACCAGTTACAAGCTGTCAGAAAAAGACCAAGCTATAAGAACCCGAGGCATGTGACTCACCCTGCTGTGACTCACCTCCCACCTTCACATTCCCTCATTCACACTACCTAAGACCCACTACATGATAAAGTACATTGGTCATCTACAACCCATGTTTGTGATCAAAGAATGGCCTCTTCCCTCAATTTTCCAGAGCTAACCAGATTCTCCTGCTGGCTTCTCAGTGCCAAAAGTAGCTAATGGGCAAAAGGAAGTCAGACTCTTCAGCCTTTACCTTAGTGATGGTACCCACAGCTTTGGTGCGGCCTTCACGGAAGACCAGACGCTGGTCTATATGCAAATATTCTGGGGTTTTGATGAAGCGAAAGTGCACGGTGGCTTTGTCCCCTGTCCGCAGGCAGTCTTTGTCCATGCTGAGAATCGTGGCTGTCTGACGGATGCTGCCACAATGCACTGTGAACGTAATGCAAAGGCTTTCAACAGCCAGTGCTATTAGTGACATAAGCTTCAGCCAGACATCTAAGGTAGCTCTTGCTACTATACAGCTAACAGCACTGAGTTTGGAATGTAAAAATCTACTGTGTACCAAAGGCTATATAGGTCACACGGCTGCCTTTGTTCAGTCCTCAAAAAGAAAACATAAATAAGCTAGAACAGTTGCCTTCAGAGACTTTCCTGAAGCATCCTCAACAGAATCCTACATGCCAAGCAGCCAGGCTAGAAGGCAGAACCTAAAATGAGTCTCTCAGTCAGCATTTGAAGCTGAAGAATCTGTGCAGCATGGAGATCTAGCTCAGGCAGGCTCCAAGTACATTTGGAGTCACACATCTCCTTTTTACTTACAGCCTTCACCACTCTCCACTGTCAGCTCCCTCCCCTCTCTCTAATGTATTGATAAAGGTCAAACCAGGAACGACGGCTTATATTTAAGCTGACAGAGCCATTGGGAGAAAAATTATCTCAGGCTAGAGCTGATATGTTACCACTTGGAAACAAAGATAAGACAACACAGAGACATACCCATGGCCTGATATCGTGGGCTGATGGTGGTGGGGTGATGGAGCACCAGAATCTCTGCTTCAAACTCCCACGATGCTTGTGGATTCAGGCGGGGTGACACCATTACCATGCCTTTCCGGATGGAAGAACGCTTGATCTGAAAAGCAGAGACACAAAAAACATTAGCATGAGTATCCAGGGAAGAAATTTGCTTCTCTGGCTGACTGCATCCAGAAGGATCCTAAGGGATTTCACAGATATTAACTTGTGCTCACCAAAAGGCAAAGCCAGAGCTGTTTAGCAGTATGTACGATGTTATGTAAAGGCTGCAAAAATTAAGTTCAGCTGAATTTTCTAAGGAAACTTTAGCTATAGTGCTGGGAATGCTGGACACTGACACAGAAGTTTTAACTCATTGATCCTTTAAAAGCAAAACATACATTCTGGTTGCACATTACCCAAGCTGATGATCTCTCCAAAAGCATAACACCTGTTAACACAAAATTTTAAGACTGAACACATGAAAATTGGTATAGCTATATCCTCTTAAAATCAGTGTAGCTTCTATTGACAGAAACCTTTCACCAGAGGAGTCACATCAAATTTTGCTTATTTTTAAACCCCAAATCAGGCAGCTGGTCCTACAAGTTGAGAAGAACAGTGTAAATACCCTGCCTAGGCCACCAGTGCAGTTGCAGTACAAGACGAGACTTTTCTCTGCTTTGTTACACATCTCTAACACTATTCCTCATTCCAGCTGAACTAACTCTAAGAGCACTCTAAAATTAGGAGAGCAGTTCCTGTTCTGGGAGTCTAGAGCAGATCACCTCACCTTTTTCAAAGCAAAGGAGGCAGTCTGGCCTCCCCGCACTTCTTTGACGGGCATTCTCTTGCGGTGGATGGACTTGACAGCAATAGGTAGGAAGTTGCCAAGGGGATCTGGCCCCAGCAGCAGGGTGTCATTTAGCTTGATCAGGCCTCTCAGTGTTGTCCCAGACACAACTGTTCCTACACCCTATGCCAAAAAAGAAAGAACAGTAATTGGGGTTACTTGACAACGCTAGCAGAAGAGCTCTAGAACTCATCTCTCTAGGGAACATGCCTTCTTCAACCTGAAAGAGGAAGCAGAAAATTCTTCCAAATACCAGGCCCCTTACCGGGACAGAGTAAGTATCATCTATCTGGAATTCTGCTGGCTCTTCTTCCCTGTAACTGGTCCGTGGAGACAAGAGATTAAGAAACATCTTCAGCAAATCTAGGTTCTCCCCAGTGACATTTGAAATCTGGAAAATTGGGCACATCCTATAAAGGAAAATTGATGAAAATGGAGTTAGTTCACCTCTGTGCCTGGAATTCCACATGTAGGGAGACATCCAAAATCTTGGGACTGAATTCAATACACAGTGCTAGGAAGGGAGAGCCTTCTGTCAAGCAGTCAGATGCACAACACCCCATGTTTGAAAACCTGCAACATTGCCTCTGCCTTCTAATGGCATTCAGGAATAGGTGTAAGGTTCTAGGATTGAAGGAAGCTGAATACCCTGCCATCTTCTGCAGACTGCCCAGAAGCAGCCTCTCATTTCTGTCTGAGAGGGGAACACAAGCAGGTCAATCTCAGAATCAACACATTCTTATGGAATCAACACACCACATGGCAGATGCAACCTTCACACATCTAGACAATGGGACGCTCTTTCTGAATCTTCTCACCCAGTCTCCAAGTAGGATTGAAAGAGAAACAACTCTCCTCTACTCCCGTTACCTCTCTGAGCTGAAGTTGGAGGCTGTTACAATGACATCATCCTTGCTCTGTACCAGCACGGGAATCTTCCTGCACCCTGGGGACTTCAGCAGTCGCTGTAACAGCTTCAGGGTTTCTTAAAGGGTGAAATGAATATTGTTAGGGCAGCATCTCCCGTCTTTACAAATAGCTTTTGTGGGGTCTCTCCCCAAAGGGAGACTGATGCTCTTGCCACAAATAGACAGGAGAAGTTGGCTAAAGGTGCGTGAGTGAGACTGAGTTTGCTGCAGCCCAGGTGGGACTTAGGAGCCATTCCATCTTCCACTTCATGCCAGCTAGCCTGCTGCCAAGCAACACCGTACATGAACATACATACATGTTTGCATCTGCAAATGCAATGCTGTGAACTAGACATTTTACAGCTGTCTATTAAGTAGCTTTTAGCAGTTACAAGGTATTTCCTCTTCCTATAAAGGATTTTTCATTTAAATATTTGAGAATATGTGAATGAGAAATCAGTTTGGACCAAACCAACCTCAACACACCTTCCCTGGTGATCAACCTGCCCTAGAAGGTTAGAGAAGCATGAAAGAGGTAAAGATCACCATCACAGACTAGGACAGTGTAGGTGGACCAGATCCAGAAATAGGTATCTAGGGACAAATCTCATGGCTCCTAACCTTGACCTTTTGTCTCTTTTTAATTTATTTTCTAAGACTCATAACTATCAGCCAGCAGGGACATTACCTGATGCACTAGCATCAGCGTCCTGCTAAGTACCTTACAATAAATGAAAAAAAAAAAAAAAAAAGCTAAGGGCTTAAAAGATCAAATCATTTATATTCTACAATTGTCATCCAATTAGATGATTTTGTGAACAAATGATTGCCTATGGGAAAGTAATGTTTTGGATACAGAAACACAAACATCTAACCATGCCATCTGCTCTTTACAGATACACTTGAGCCAAATATTGTGTCTATTTAATTTAAACAGAACATGACACATGAGTGGCTTCTCCCAAGAGCAGCTCTTCTCTCCTCACCCCAAGCCAAATGTTCTCCTTCCTTCCCAATTACTATCTTATGGTTGGGCCTTACATTTATTTGCCAAACATCTATTATAGAGACATTTAGACTATCTTCTGATCATGTGTCTGTTTACATGAAACATATTTAGGATTTTTACAATAATGATAACCACAGACAGTATCAGGAGCATTCACATTCCTGATTATCAAAAAAAGCATTCCTTGAATTAAACATAGCATGTTCCTGAAGGTGTAAGAAATGAAATAAAAGAATTTTAAAGGTGAGAGTTAGTCACAGCCTGAAAAATGTCAAGCATAAGTTAAAGGGACACTGCTGGGGTTAGAGGTGCTGCTTAAACTGCTGCTGAGAGAAAAGGTCACTAGCCCCTACTGCTCACTGCCATTCCTGCTTGTGTCTGGTCTAGTCCTGCTACCATAGCCCACATAAGCAGCTGATTTGAACAATGATTTATTAAGTGTTGGTCAGTTGTTCAGACACAGGAAGGAGCTGCTGTAGTTATGCCCACATATCTGAGAAGTGCCCAGGTGAGCAGGGTGTAAAAAGCAGCTGCGCTTTCACTTAACAGCTGCTGGAGAACAAGTTTAATCACAGCTGAAGATCACATCCAAACTGTGGGCAAGGAGAAAAGCAGCTTTCAAGAGAACTTCCAGACTTTCAGACTCTCCCCCCAGAGAGAAAGAAAAGGCATAACACCCACTCTATGCTTCTCCCCTTAGAGCTCAATTAAGCAAAACCCTTGGGTTACCCAGCTGAGTCCCCAAACTCAGGTAATTTTGTAATAGTGACATCGACTGAACTGCCTGCAAAATGGGCAGGGGGAAAAGGATAAATTTCTGGAAGGTGTTTAAGATGCAGTCAAAACTAGATAAAGCAGCTTTCCTCCAGCTATAATTCCTCAACCCAAGCAGAGGACAACGGCACATAGAGAAGTAAGAAATAGCCCTGGATAGCGCTTGTAGGACTCACCTTGCAGGATGTTGGCAGGGCACATGTCAATCTTGGTCACCACAACAAAGACAGGAACATTAAGTGCAAGCGCCAGGCCCAAGTGCTCCTTGGTCATTCCAACTATCCCAGCATTACTGCCAACCTACACCAGGGATACAAGATACAGTGATGCAAACGTTCTTCCTGCAGTGAGCTGGGTTACTTGTGTCAGACATGTAGTAGGCCATGTTTAGGTTTGAAGATGCATCATTGGAACTGTATGAGCAGACCCAGCTCATTTCAAATGCTGTTGGACACTGGCTAAGGGCTCATTGCTCCTCAATATTAGCAAGGTGTTCTGGGTTTTGGAATCTTTCCATTTTCAGGAACCATACATCCTGGGCCTGTCTGAGACTGACAGTCCTGAGGCACTTGCCTTAGAGCCCTGGCTAAATATCAACAATGGCTACTGCTCTCTACCTCTGGGAGATGCTGCCTCCCTCCACAACCCCACAGGGACTTTGCAATAGGAAAGAAGTTTAGGCTGTTAAAGCTCTGAACAGCCCTGCTCCTGCTGGTAGTGTACATCTTTCTTGATACCTACCATAAGCATGCAGAAGTCAGGTAAATGGCCAGTCATGCCAAAGACGGTGGTCTTCAGGTACTTTTCATGACCAGCCAGGTCAATGAAAGTAATGACCTTCGTGGATTTCTCACAGATCTTTGTCCATTCCAAGCTGCCACCATGGCTGTCAGGCTTGTTCACCACGTTGCCCTCACTGTCGAAGCCCAAAATGTCATTGCCCACGCTGCTGGTGCGACCTGACTCAATCTCATGCTTATGGCGGAAGAGCTTTTGCCGAGCAAAGCCTCGGCCATTGTCTAGTTCGCCATGTGTCAACACACCTAGCAATGTGCTCTTTCCTGCATCCACATTGCCAACCACCGCTACCCTGGAGGGGAAAGGAAAAAGGAACCTGGTGAAATCTGATACCCGAAGAAACAAACAAGCAATCAAAAAAAAAAAAACCCAACAAAACAAACACCACTGTTTTTTCTCCCTAACCTCCAAATAGTTTCAAAAATGTTTAGACCTTCATAAGCACAGCACAGATTCTTTCACAGTTATTAGTTAACAGAGGAGATCCCAGACTGGGGACTGGGATGTGCAAGACAGTGAAAACATGTCACTGATGTGCAGAACACAGTCAGCTAAGCCCAGCATTGTCTGATGCCATACAGAACATCTCTCCTCCAACCCCTAGCCTCTGCAATCCAACATATACACTGTGGCAATTCAAAAGAAAGGCTAAATACCAACTTAGTTTAGAATACCTCTGCCTTTCTAATATTCTTCATGTTGCAATAGCCCCAGGTGCTAGGGAAAGCACAGAAACTTAAACTGGCGTTCCCAGAAAAGAAAAAGCTCAAACAAAAATGAAACGTTTTAGGGGAAAGCCCTCTCCTAACACTAATCTCATTCCTTGTTTCTGATGAAGGTGGCTATTACAGCTGTTGGCAGATGTTGGAAGTCTGTTCCATCCAGGTCTGGGCAGACTCTCATGTTACACAAGCTATTATATGTGCATTAAAAGGTGACTTGGATGATCAGAGTCTTGGAATAGAACTGAACCCCTAGTCAAAAGTATTGTATTCCAGCCATGTGCATACATGCACACACACAGAGACACGTGCACATGTGACTCCCTACTGGGATTCTAGTCCACAAAAGATCCCTGTCACCCAGACAGCAACAGCCCTCAGCTAAACACAGGCAAACCTCCACAAACAGTTTGTTCACAAAAGGGACAGCAACAACAAAAAGGCAATTTCATTAACAAGGAGGAGTCAAGCTCAATTCCCTTTATTGGGTAGTTACAACACCCAGACTCGAATCAGCGTTGCTGGTTCAGCATCACAGACTGCTCACAGGGTAAAAATGCAGCTGAGCTGCTGACTAACCCTGTCCCCACCCAGCTTCTCACCTGACCTCCAGGAAGTCGTTGTCACCCACTCGTTTACGAACGAGGTAGTCGCGCACCTTGCCCCCTGCCTCCTGGTGCTCCCGCAGGAGGATCACATCTGCCTCAATCTGCTCTGCCATACTCTTCAACGTGGCATAGGATGCTTCCATGTCTGCCTCATTCAGACCATATTCAGTCCCATCTAGTATGATGTGAGGAGACAAAGGACAGTCAGTGAGCACCACCTTGCAATGGCCAGCGCCAATGTCATTCTGCCTGGGACTTCCACACCACCCAGGATTTATATGTGGACTGGAGATGTCAGCCATGTAAACAGAACAAGCACCCTTTGCCCAAAATAAAAAAGGACAGTCTTCCCTCTAAGTCTTAAAAGATACTAGAAAAACACCATCTTTCATCTAGAGGAGTTTTCTTCACAGTTTCTACAAGCAAATACTTAGGGATTGGTAAAACACATTTCTAAGTCCCTTACTTCACATGTGCGCAATTTCCTTCAGTCAGACAAAGTATCTCCTCTTGCAGTAACAAGTGATGATGAAAAGGCTGAGGTGCTTAATGCCTTCTTTGCCTCAGTCTTTAATGAGAAGACTAGTTGTACTGAGGGAATCCAGCCTTCTCAGCCAGAAGGCAGGGACTGGGAGAACGACACACACCCCCCGCATTCCAGGAGGAGATAGTCCGTGATCTGCTGCATCACGCAGACACACACACGTCTATGGGACTGGATGGGATACACCCGAGGGTGCTGAAGGAGCTGGCTGGGGTGCTCGCCAAGCCGCTTTCCATCATTTACCAGCAGTCCTGGCTGACCGGGGACGTCCCGACAGATTGGAAATTGGCCAGTGTGACACCCACATATAAGAAGGGTCAGAAGGATGATCCGGGAAATTACACGCCTGTCAGCTTGACTTCGGTGCCAGGGAAGATGATGGAGCAGCTCATCCTGAGTGCCATCAAACAACACATGAGGGACAACCAGATGATCAGGCCCAGTCAGCAGGGGTTTATGAAAGGCAGGTCCTGCTTGACAAACCTGATCTCCTTCTATGACAGAACAACCTGCTTATTGGATGAGGGAAAGGCTGTGAATGTTGTCTACCTTGACTTTAGTAAGGCCTTTGACACCATTTCCCACATCATTCTCCTGGCAAAAATGGCTGCTCGTGACTTGGATGGGCACACACTTTGCTGGATAAAAACTTGGCTGGATGGCCGGGCCCAAAGAGTTGTGGTGAATGGAGTTAAATCCGGTCGGTAGTCGGTCACGAGTGGTGTCCCCAAGGGCTTGGTTTTGGGGCCACTCCTGTTTAACATCGTTGTTGATGATCCAGACAAGGGGATCGAGTGCACCCTCAGTCAGTTTGCAGACGACACCCAGTTGGGTGGGAGTGTTGATCTGCTCAAGGGTAGGGAGGCTCTGCAGAGAGACCTGGACAGGCTGGAGCCATGGGCTGAGGCCAACTGCAGGAGTTTCAATAAAGCCAAATGCTAGGGACTGCACTTGGGCCACAACAACCCCCAGCAGCGCTACAGGCTTGGGGAGGAGTGGCTAGAGAGCTGCCAGTCAGAGAGAGACCTGGGGGTGTTGATTGACAGCCGGCTGAACAGGAGCCAGCAGTGTGCCCAGGTGGCCAAGAAGGCCAATGGCATCCTGGCTTGTGTCAGCAATAGCGTGGCCAGCAGGGACAGGGAAGGGATCTGACCCCTGTACTCGGCACTGGTGAGGCTGCACCTCGATTCCTGTGTTCAGTTTTGGGCCCCTCACTACAAAAAGGACATTGAATTACTCCAGCATGTCAGAGAAGGGCAACGGAGCTGGTGCAGGGTCTGGAGCAGAGGTCACAGGAGGAGCGGCTGAGGGAACTGGGGGTGTTTAGTCTGGAGAAGAGGAAGCTGAGGAGAGACCTCATCGCCCTCTACAGCTACCTGAAAGGAGGTTGCAGAGAGCTGGGGATGAGTTTTTTTTAACCAAGAGACAGGAGAAGAGGGAATGGCCTCAAGTTGCACCAGGGAAGGTTTAGACTGGATATCAGGAAGCAGTTCTTTCCAGAAGGGGTTGTTGGGCATTGGAATGGGCTGCCCAGGGAGGTGGTGGAATCCCCATCCCTGGAGGCATCAGGCTGACATAGTGCTGAGGGATCTGGTGTAGCTGGGAACGGTCAGTGTGAGGCTAATGGTTGGACTGGATGGTCTTCAAGGTCTTTTCTAACCTAGATGATTCTGTGATTGCTATAAAGGGAGAAGCACTAACAAAAGAAAAGCTCTGACTGAAATAGCACCACAATTAACCAGTGAATATGGGCCAATTTAAACAATCAGCTTATTTTATTTATAAAACCACATCCCAAATGCACATTTTCTGCAAGTCTGGTCTGCGTAGAAATTTTTTTAGCCCCCACATACTCCAGTTAAAACAATGTTTTTGGCATGTCTCACTGCCTTCGTCCTGGCACTTGAAAGAAATGCTGAAAGCATATGAGGCCAGAAAAAAACAAGGAGGCACTGCTGCCTCTGAACAGCCCACCCAGGCAAAGAGCTGACAGTCAGAGCAAGCCAGGGGCCACCACAGCTCTCAGTTTCTCTCCTAACCCAGGTGCTGAGAAGCTGCACAGATTTCAGGCCAGAGTCTCCTCTGTGGGTAAAAAAAAACCCCAACAAACAAAGGTGGAGAGCCACAAAGTACCTGGATGACCAAAGCTATTGCTGTGAGCACATTCATATGCATGGCTGACTCATCAGCTGGTAAGCAGTAACTGCAGTCTGCACGAACTAATCAGCATTTTAACTACTGCACAGCTCTACAACAAGTAGAGCTGCTGGGTGATTTCCAGACTAGCTCATAACCTGGCTGCTGAGGTGGTGGGGAAAACAAAAAGCACCAGTGCTGGGGTCTTGGGTCATAGAAGGGAAATGTGATGTGGAGGACAGGAGAGGGTAAGAGACAAGGAGAAAGGGAAGGGTCACTACTGATGAAGCAGTGAGCTTCCTGGCAGTCTTCACTCACTTCTCAGTCATTGGAGTTGGATATCCAGGATGATCAAAATCATAGACACTGACTGAACGAGAAGGGCACTTCACAGGGATATCACGATTTTTTCCTGTTGGCTATTGTTTCCAATTTAGAGAAAAGATCCCCACCTCCCTTGACTATGCAGCAACCCAAAATGAAGTCAGAAGTTTTCGCTCATATTTTAAGAAACAAATGCCTACTTCTAAGCACATCATTGCAACAACCAGCAGTTAACATCCTCACAGGGTATCCTAGATGAAAAAGCAGTTACTAGCCTGACTAGCTAGAGATCTCTGCTGCAGATATGGTTATCCCAAACACCAACTAATGTGGGAAGTTCACTTGGAGGCAAGAGCATTATCCCCAGGATATTGGCTGCATGGCCATCTAATCCTGACCTCTCTTCTATGTCAGCTGCTTCACAAGACACCAAGAAAACCCAAAAAGTTCAGAGGTAGCTCTCCCCCTCATTATTTCATCCAACCCTGGCACTGATGACCTGAGTTATGTATTCTTCCTCAAACATAGTCACTAGTAGAATGTCTGATCATAACAACTTGATATCCAGCAGATATCCAATATATTTGAAACATGCCATTAGCCTTATGATAGCCATAGACAATTTTTTTGCATTCAGAAAATAAAATTCAATTTCAAAGCAAGGCCACGTTCAATATTATTTTACCAGCATCAGGTGCAAATATTCAAAGTGTGAAAAAGAACAAAAAGGTAACCCATGCTGACTGCTAAAATCTAAAATTACTGCAGCCACACCCAAGTTAATATGACAATAAAGGCCTCATGCTGAGAAAAGGAAAATCTTTCTCTCCATAGTACAGAAACACATTAACAGAGAAAGTCAGCAGCATATATTTTGGCTATCTGATATATCTTAAATACATTCCTGTGGGGTGAAAATATTGTTATTTACAATGGAGAAGTGAACAAAACCAGACAGAACAAGACCTCCACCAGACATTGAGGATGTCTGTACTAAAACTGCTACTATAATTTCAAATCCTTCCTCTTTTCCTGGTGTGCCCAGAAAATTTATGCCTTATTTCCAAAATAATAGTTTTATAATACTTGTCTCATTTTATACAAAAAATGTGCTTAGCTCCATTACATAAGACAGTTGCTGGCAGGGATAAATGAATCTGTCCCACATGTTCTGCTGTACTTTATGGTTTCCAAGTTATTCTGGAGAAGTACTAGCTTCAGCAGCAGTCCAGTTAGATAAACTAGCTTTTTCTTATAATTTTAATGTTTTTGTGGTTTTTCTGAGGAAGCTATACTCACCTGATCCTTGCCCAATGACATAGATAGTCTCCCCACATCCCTCATCAATTCTCTCTGACATCTGCTGGAGCAAACTGTCATACTGCTCTGAAGTTGGACTCACCATCACCAGCTGGAAAAAAAGATTAAATATCCATTTGCAGATGTCAAACAAACAATTTCAAAGCCAGTTTCAGTTACAAGGACAATCAATCCATGTGTTTTATTGAAAGAGAAGGGCTCTTTTTCAAGGACCACTTTCTGGTGGTTTGGTTTTGGATTATTTTTTTTTATTAAAACATCTTCGCTGACAGCTATTTTCTTGTGACACTACACAAGGTTATTTGTCTGAGCTCAGAGTTAATTTACGTTGGAAGATATACTTCAAAGCGAGTAAGAATACCTAGCATCTCATTTTGAAGTAACCAATGTTTAAAACCACATTTAAGTGACATCCCACTTCTACTTCTGTGTAATACATGTTTCTGTGCAAGGAAAACAAAAAGGGGAGGAGACATTTTCTCCGAAGAAACTCCTTAGCTGGGTACTCCACAGTCTCTGCTGCACAGTGCTGCTGCTCCCTCAAAGCATAACAGGACAGCCAGAGGAAGCCAGCCAGACCTCACTGCAGAGCATACCTAGGCACCAAAATCTAGAGCATCTCATAAGCCTTTCACACACTTGATCTCCCCTTTTGTTTTCTGAGGGGGCAGAGGGGAAGGAGAGAACATGAATAAGCATTATTTTCAAACTCTTAACAAAACTTTAGGTACTTTATGCTACAGTGCTGAGAGGCAGACATACAAGGCAGTTTGTACAAGCATATATATGGACATTTCACCAGCGGAGAGCTGCAGTTTTGCAAGCCAGCAGCTGTGTTACCAACAAGGTTTGACTGCAGTTATTCCAACAACCACAACTTCCTTTGCCCTTCCCTGCAGAGGCACCAAGAGAAGGAAAAAGTAGACAGAAACAAAGAGGCACAGGAGGACAAGACAGTGCTTCAGGAAGGATTTTTCTTAGAACAGAATGGTGTAGAACTTACTGGCAAAAATCTGTTTCGCTCATACAGTACAGGTGAGGACACTCGCATGGAGTGGCCACAGTGGTGCCATGGCAGTGGCAGACCAAGGAGACCTTCATCACCCACTGAGGGCCAATTAGCTACCTGCTTGCTGGCTCCCTCCACGGTTACAAATCTGTTGGCGGTCAAGCATCCTGGTACAGTGGCTCAATAGCTGTTGTAACTGATATACCCGATTCTGTTAAAAAGGCACTTTTAGTAAGAGTTGTAAAGGGTATCACCTACTGATAGGCCTATGAGTAGCATGCCTGTACCACACTATAACACTCAGTGAAATCCATACTTCCACTAGCTGTCCACACACGCATTCCAAAATTATGCCCAGAAAGATGTACTTCCCTTCACTACACACTAAGGCCAGTCTGAAACCTGTGCTAGATTTACCTGAAATATATGGTTTACAACAGTTACACCTTCAAGCCTGCCCAACATTCTCTAACACAGCGTGACTGCTAGCACAGCTAACACTATGTGCACTCAAGAAAGAACTACCTTTACCACCTACTACTACTACATAGTTGATAAAGCCCTTTATTAGAAATGTAAAGCGTAAGGGAATCCAAAACCACACAAATACCACCTAAGCAAAACTACAGCAATGCATGCATCTAGAAAACTGAAGCACAGGCAGCAAGTACTGGTTAGAAGGTTTAAGGCAGCCAAAGCAACACTTTCCTTGAATGCTAAGGGTCACACAGAACATGTATGCCTCTTCAAGAGCCTGGCAAGAGAGACAATCACCTTCATGTGCCTCTTTTAGACACATGCCCTACCTAAGCCTTTTAACTACTTGGCACGGTATGCAAAGAGTAGCAAAGCACTCCCATTGGAAGGCCTCACAGTCTCTCTGTTTCATGCTCCAAAGGACTGACTTTTGCCTTTATTAGTTGTTCTTTCAGTTTTGTTTTCTTCTTAAAGGAGACCACAGGATATAAATGTATTGAGAGAGAAATTAGCAGCTGTTCAGAGGCTTGATCAGGACAGGAATGGAAGACTGTGTGTTGACGTGTAGGCCTTGCTTTGCCCAACAAGCACTTTCAGGAATTCCTGGAAGCACAGCAGACAGGCTCACTGTTTAGGCTAGGGTGCCAGCACAGGTCAGGGACTCAGGAAAATCTATTAAATAGCCTGTCATACACATAAAGATCAATAAAATAACAGAGGCCATCAGTGTACAGGCATGCTAACTTCAGTTTCTTCAAGTCTCATCACCAGCTTCATTCTTCTATGAGTTCAAATGCTTCAGCAGTGTGAGTGGGCAGGGTGTTGTCTAAAGTACCAGGGGATGTTTCACCTGAGCAGCTTGCTGTAGCCTTTCTTCATGGTGCCAGGCAGGATGGCTGGGAGCTCAAACAGCATGGTACCCACACACACACATCAGCTCAAAACACTGTTACCCCACCCTGTGCTTCCACTGCCATGCAAAGGTGCTCCTGAAGGGTGTTCCAGTGGTAGACTGCCTCCAAAGCCTACCCCGGGGCTGATGAAGCTTACAGCTGATATAGTGGGACATCAAGAGAAGGGTGTATAGAAAAAATACAACTTTCATGGATCACACCTTCCAGTGCCGTTCAGTATTACTAACGGCTATTTCTGCCGCTTGCAGCCCCCAGCCAGTTCCGCAGTTTCCTAGGTCGCTGGAAGACTTTACTTGCTGTTTTGAAGATCTCTTTAGCTAGCTTCCTAGACAGAAGGAGCCTGTCCTTTGCCATCTCCTTGGTCGGACAGAGGCCCTCCATCTTGGCCTCTCTGCTTTTTTTGCTTTTCACCTTTGAGCAATCCCCTCCTATTCCTGTTTTCCATAGGTTTTCACAGAATAAAAAATTTTCCATTTTGTTCCTTCCACTTTGCCAGGCATTGAGCAGTTAACAGTAGGCCATGTGGGTCTAGCAACTTCAGATTTCCTATAGAGCAAAAAAGCAACAACCAGTTATTGTTTTATTCTCATGACCGCAGAAGGAAATATATCTCACAATTTTGAGATGCCATTTTTAAAGTTCCTTCCCAATCTCTGGGGAGAGGTGGCTTCTCCTCCCTTTGCTCTGATCAGTTTTGGGATTAACATACACTAGATCTGAGAAACAGCTACAGCTGTGTGAGCTTACTCCAAGAGGACAAGTTGGACTATGCCATTCTGTACTGTCCAACAGCAAGCAAGAGCCCATATTAATTAACAGCAATTTCAAGACACTTGTGAGACTGAGCTCAAGTTATATCAGCACTACTACAGGCAGTCCTTACAAAAGCAGCATCCCATATCCATGAGGCAGACTATAAAGATTAAGGCCAAACCAAATACTATGTGGTACATAGTGCTGCTCTTTACTGGAATAACACAGCCTGATATTGGGAAGTCAGGGGAAAAGCACCTTCCGTAATGTCATATTTTGCTTTCTGTTTCACGTGGACATACATAATTCAAGTTCTATTAATGATCTGTTGTCAACATAGACCTAATGTAAGTATCAGCTGCACTAATAGCCTGGTGCGATATGGTTTTGACCTGAAAGATGATTACTACTGCATTGTGTTAGTGCTGAAGGGAAAACAAACACCCATTAAGATGGCCATGATAATGAATTTGTGCTGATGAATGGAATGGTTTGCTTGCCCAGCTGACAAGGTGCACTGGATAACTGAATCCCAAAGTGTTCCTCTCTAAAAAGAGCACACATTACAATGAACACACTGGGGGAGGACCGGCAGAAAAGTATGTAACACAGCGAGGGTGTGGGTCAGACCAGGACAGAAGCAGCAACCAGCAAACAAACTGACTGCAGTGGGCATCATCATTTTAAGCAGGAATTGGAGGGCAGCAGTTCAACCGGGAAGACAGAAAAGATGGGGGGTTCGGGGGGCAGGTTAGTTACTGCATTCTCACCATATGGGATCCCTGTTTTGAGCACATAGCAGGAGACTAACTTGGAGAGATGGGGCAGAGCTCCATCTTAGCTATCATCCAAAATGGGGATGAATAAAAAGGTCTAGGGAAAAGACAGCAGGTGTACACTGCTGTACAGAAAATTAAGTTGTAATAAAGGTGAAAAAAATGCTTACCTATCACCTTCATAGTGCCTGCAGATTTCTACGAATGGAAGACAGGCTGAAAACACAAATGGAGGTTGTGGGAGAAAAGCATTCCTCCCTCTTCATCAGAGTTTTGGTCAGGTTCTTGGCTGTCAAGAAGCAGTGACACAGCCTTCGTCATCCTCCTGGGCCCTCTTCCACATTAGCCACATCCAAGACAAAGCACAGATCAATACTGGCATCCTGTATCAAAATCTTGTCCAGCTCATTAAGGCACGAAAGGTGGCTCGACAGATACCACATGTTTGATTTCTGTCCTTTACTATCTTATAGGACATCTTCATAACATTGGTTTTAATACAGTACCATGTTGTAAAATATCTGGTCATCCCCTCAAAAACAAATGTTTCCACATCCACACACCACAGTTCCTCTCTCTCCACTTCTCCACAGAGGGCAAGAAAATCCAGAACTTGGGAACAATTCCAGTTGGAAGCATGAAGAGGAGGGATAGCAGAAAAACAGGAGGAAGCACCAGCTGTGCTGACTTCTGGATCACACAGTTACAAGCGGACCAAATCAAGTTTTCAGGAGACTTTTAGAGTGCAAGATAGCATGACAATACAGCAAACGGTATACAGTTTATCAGCTAACTGGGAAGAAATAGAAGATGGTGTGGAAAGGCTGCTAATGCAGCCTGTGGTGGTGGACTCTGACATGCACGTATTACTACAATGTACTTTCCTGCAAGATGCAAGTGAGAATGGAATCTCACAGAAATAAGACCACCACACAATTTTGTCACTTGCATCCTAGCAAGGAACTGTGTAAGGTGAACAAACCTTTTTGTGTTGACATAACCTGGTTTGCAAGAGCAAGGCACCCTTTGGAGCTGAGCCCTTGTGCTCAGAAGTTACAAGCTCTGACCTGCTTTTAAGATTGTGAAAAAGCCCCAGTAACTAGTACGACTGGCAGCAAAGATTAACTACAGAGAACCAGCACAGAGGAAAAACGTTAGTGAGACGTTAAATCAGCTGTCAACTTCAAACCCTGCTCTTGCTGAGAGTATGCAACACCCGCTGCAGGCGCTTCCCCGGGGAACCGAGGAGGGGAAGGAGCAGGGCAGACAAGCCTGCCAGCACCCTCCTTTCCCGGACAGGGCACAGCTCGCTCTCAGCTCTTCATAGGTCAACTTTACTGCGCTCCTCCCGGCCGCCTCCCCAAGGCACAGCGGGCTCTGTCGCCCAGCCCTCCACGCCCGGCCGGGTGATGCCGGGACGAGGGGGAGTCCCCGGGATGCAACTCCAGCCCGCAAGGAAGCCCCGCGGTGACACCCTCACCCCGGCGGAGGCAGGCGGGCCCCCCGGCCCCTCGCTCTCCTGACGTGAGGGGAGAGGACCGGCGAGCGGAAGGGCTGGCCCTGGCTCTCGGGCTGCCCCACGGAGCAGGCCCATGGGCAAGGCGACCGCCAGCGGAGAGGGCAGCGCCGGGTTTGGTGAGGTGATGATGGTCGCCGCCACCAGCCCCCTCGCCGGGCCTACCTTACTGGTGAGGTCGATCTCGGGCTCGCCGTTGAGCGCCTCACCATCCTCGGCGTCGAAGGCGGCGCGGAGAGGACATGCGACCGCTGCTACGCGAGGTCCCCCGCCTGGGGAGCCGGGCTCCGGGGCAAACATACAGGCCGGCACCGGGGAGCTCCCCATTGGGGATCGGCTCCGCTCCGCCGCCGCCGCCATCTTCCCTGCCCCAGCCCTCCTTCCCCACCCACCTCCCCTCCCCTCCCCGCGCCCGCCCCTCCGCCCCAGGAGGCGGGGCGGCCCCGCCCCCAGGCTACCGGGGCGGTGCCAGCCAATCACCGGCGGAGAAAAGGAGGCGATTAGCCTGTAGTCATGGTAACAGCGGGCAGGGTCGTTGTTATTCATGAGGGAGGGCCACACCCCCGCAAAGCGCGCGAAGCCAATGGGAGAACTACTGCCAGCTCGACTTGTTTTCTATATATACACACACAGCAGAGCCCGCTCGACGTGTCCTGTGCCGCCTACCCAATAGGAGAGCTGGCCCTTGTGACAAACAATGCTAAAGGCCAATCGGATAAGACAACCCGAGCAACTGGGTGGGACTAAGCCGCCGCCACAGATGGGCAGGGCCCGCCCTGGTGGGAGGGCTACTCTTGGGCTAGCCAATGAAAAAGAAGGCATTTTTCACGGACAGTTGTGTAAGCCAGTAGGATGGGGAGCGAGCGTTCCGGGTGTCGCTTCAAACCGCGGGTCCGGCTGTCCCGGCCGGGCGCTCCCCTGAAGCGACGGGTGGTGGGGACCCGGCATGCCGGCAGCTCTCAC